ATGCTTGATCCCGGAGTCAAGTATCCCACCTATAATTCTTTTGTTTGGGTCAAGAAGTAAATCTCATAACTTCCGTTCTTTTAGATGCCGCGGAAGTACGTATCGAAGCAAGGAGACATGAAGAGGGTACCTTACGACCCGGAGGCCTTGAAAAATGCGGTCCAAGCAGTTAAAGATGGAGCTGCTTACAAAACCGTCGCAAGAGAATTTAAAATTAATGTCATGACACTTAAAAGACTATGCCGTCGAGACTCTTATGTTCAACCTGGTTTTACCAATAGACAAATTTTGTCCAAACGTCACGAGGGTGAGCTAGGAGCGTATCTTGTTCATATGTCTAAAATGTATTATGGCCTTACCGTTGTACAATTGCGTAAGGTAGCTTATTAGCCAAAGCAAATAAGATGAAATACCCCTCTTCATGGGATCACTCGCAACAGGCGGGTCGCGATTGGTATCGTGGATTTTTGGAGAGACAGCAAACTCTATCCTTAAGAACTCCAGAGCCTACCAGCTTGGCGCGAGCGACAGCGTTTAATAAACACACCGTGGCGGAATTTTTTGGAAATTTGACATCAAATTTTATGCTGAGACACCCCGGGAGAACAATCACAATCTACGACGTTTCGGAACTGTTAGGGGAAGCTTTCCCAAGGGCTATGGTACCTACCAATATAATTAGTGGCTTCAGGGCGGCTGGAATATGGCCCATAAATGCCGACATTTTCACGGAGAGTGAGTTCATGACCAGTATAGTTACGGACCGCCCTCCCCCTTCTCAACTTGAAGAACCAACACAGAGAAGTGTGATAGCGTCGGACTGCCCTCTCCCTTCTCCACTTGAGGAGCCCGTACAAAGCAGCAGTGTGAGTGAACGCGCTTCCCCATCCTCACTTGGAGGATCAGTGCCGATGCACTTTTCACCACAGGACATCATGCCCTACCCCAAGGCAGGTCCACGCTCGCAGTCGTCGCGCGGGAGAAAGCGAGGACGTACTCGCATCCTAACCGATACTCCGGAAAAAGCAGCCATCGAAGAACAATCAAATAAAAAGTTGGCGAAGATAGCAGAGATAGAAATGAAAAGGAAGATTAAAGAAAATAGGCCTACCAAGAAAACAGTGAGACAAATCTTTTCACTAAAAAAAATTAACGATGACACCTCATCTGATTCTGATGAATGTCCTCCACTTCCATCATCGTCAGGGGGGGAAGAAGAGTTATGCAGTGATGGCGAGGGTCATAGAGCTTTTGAGCCCATCAGAAAAGAAGTAGGGGAATTTGTAGTTGCAATTTACAATGGTTTGTCATACCCAGGAAAAATTACAAAAATACATGAAAACGGGGCTACAATAAAAGCAATGGAAAAAAGTGGAAGGCTTTGGAAGTGGCCAGCAAGGGAAGACGAAATATTTTATGTGTGGGGTGACATTTTGGGACACTTGCCGGAGCCGACGAAATTTTCAAAAACACGTGACATTTATTCCGTGCCACTTCTCGAATAATTTTCCCATTTATTTTTTGTCTGTGTTTTAATTTTTTTATGTTGTTTTTATTTTGTACCTACTCATCTTTCGAATCGTTAATTACAACTTATTAAAAGTAGACCTAAGTTTATTTAATTTCCATATTTAGGTAGGCCTATGGCTGAAACTTTGACGGGTGGGATGATTGATCCTCCGGGATCATACAACCCACTCACCGGGATCAAGTATCCCCATAGGGAGAGTTACTTGATCCTTGTGTCGGACTTTAAAAAAAACCTTTTTGTCGTTTAATAAATAAGAAGGTCTGTATTGGTGCTAAATCAGTAGTATTGAACGGAAATACATGTGTGATTTAAAAGAAAGTCAGATTTATGAAAATGGTTCGAATTACTAAAAGAAAACCAAAACAGGGATCAAGTATACCACCTCTCCCCTATGTATAATGTCGATTTTAAAACTATTTTATTTTTTGTGAAGATGACTTAATATTTAAAACATAAGTTCGTCCACTTATTGCTTTTTGTACCTAAACTCTGATTTTTCATTCCGCAGTATTCTGACATTTCATAAGTGTTGCTACTAAAAAAGTTCTCCACCGAAAAAGGGACAAATTTGACCTATTTGAAGGACAATAAAAATTAAAATACTACGTATTTTTATGTTTTACATACAAAAAGGTAAACCTAAATATTTACTTACTCAAGTGGCCTAATACAAAAATAACAAATATTTCAATATCACGAACAATATATCGAATTACTTTATTTTATTCTTTAACTGGTATCACTACCTACTAATTACAGGTTTAGTAAACCTTTTTAAAAAAATGTTAGCTGTCACGTCGAGTCTGTCAAATTGATTGATTTTCATTCGACTGCTCGAATGCGCTCATGTGTTCTCGGTGTTTGCTGCTATTTGTTGTTATTATATTGTTATATTTGTTAAGTTCCAGTTATTCTATTAAGTTTTTTCTTGTTGTCTTTTCGTGTTGTGATCGTTTGTCGATTTTTATAAACGTTATGGAGCCACAACCTGGCCCTTCCCGGGAAGCAGCCCCATCTGACAGAGCACAAGACTCAGACTTTCTTTCTCCCGGAAAGAAGCGTCCTCGTGGTGCTTCCTTCACGCCCAACGAAAAGACCATAATTCTAAATATTTACAAATATAATATAGAAAATGTGCTGCAAACAACTGATTGGAGTGCAACGGAATGTGCTAAAAAGACTTCTGAGATGACTGGCGTGGGTCTGTCAAGTGTCTATAAAATTACCAACGAATATAAATACACAAAAGTGTTTCAAAAGCCGAAAAAGAGTGGACCTTAACTATCTTTCATACAAAAATTTGACAAATTTACTTTCTATATAATGTATGTATAGACTCAGATGTTCAAACTCAGACAGGTTTGTAATCTCTGACATGTCAAAAAATAATAGCTGTCAGAATTCTACAGAATGAGAAATCAGACTACAGAGCCTTTTTATTTCTGTTATTCATGTTTAACCATGCCAAATTACAGCTGTTTAGAATACCAATAGTCTCTGCACTAAGCCGCGGACAAATGGACACACTGACAGACTTGACGAAACTATAAGCGTTTCTGGTTGTGTTACTACGGAACTCTAAAAAAACTTGCTACGCTGACCAACTAAAGAGATGATTTTAATTGTTCGCGTGCATTTTTGAAAATGCTTGTGAGTTTTTCTCATTTTCTTAGGGAAACTATCGATATAAAATATTGATATGGTAGCATCACAGTTAATTTGTCCGTCATACACTTATACTTTTTCCATGTTGATGTATTTAACCTATATGTGTGCGTAAAATGTAATAGTGATGGAGGTTTAGATTTGTGTGTGCTATAATGACACAAAATTTTATTGAGTAGGTGTGCAGTACTGTCTATGTAGTGTTTCCTCGCCCCGCACCAAGTGACAGACTTTTTTGTTCGTAGCATTAGGCGTCCATTAGGTTAAATGGTCTTAGGCATGTATTGGATTGAATTTAAAATCGAGACGACCCGTTCATGCTACAACCATAATACAGCTATATTGTGGCTCTATTACGTTCTATGCGTAAGAGCGTCAAGAGAATCACTTTTGTTTACGCGTTATACTTATACGTCATATTTTATCTCGAAGTACATTTTTATGTCGTAGTAAATCAAAAACCGGGTAGAGGTGTAATTACGTTTTTGCGTGCAATTTATTGAGGGTTAATCGGTGAAATAGTTTGTGTATTTGAAAATCTATAATTTTATGTCAGGTTGTATATTATTGACTGTAGTATTATTGACCTGAAGTAACAATGGGTGTTGATATTCTTCCACTCACCAAATGTCGTTAATTGACACCGAAGTGAAGTTTTTTGTTACACAATGTCATTTAATTGAAAAGTTACTTTTAAATAAAAGTTAATCAGTTTCTATCATACAACATGTAACAAAAATATTGTGGTTCCCGTTAAGTGTGTTATCAGAATCAGTATTCAAGCGTATAGAAAGATTTAAATAAACACATTGAAAATATTAATTTTAATTTTAAAAAATCAATTTGCAAATTGTATTTGGTGTTATTATCTCTGCAGAGCCGTGGTAGCTCAGTGGTTAACGCTCGCTGTAAATATAACAGAACGCGAGTAACCCGGGTTCGATCCCCGCCGGCACCAATGAAATTGTTAATTGCAATTTTAAGAGCTGATTTACCACGTGCTCGGCGGTGAAGGAAAACATCGTGAGGAAACCTGCATGTCTGAGGAATAAGAAAAAAAATATTTCGAAGACATGTGACGTTCGTCAACACGCATTTGGGCAGCGCGGCGGACACTTCCTTGCCCTAAACCCTCTCAGAAATGAGGGGAGGCCTGAGCCCAGCAGTGGGACGTATATAGGCTGTAATTTTACTTTACTTTTTTATCTCTGCATTGGCCGAAGAGTAAGAGGATTGTCCAAGACCCCGTAAAAAAAAAAAAAAATATGTCGACTTTTCTGAAAAACGAAATATTTCTATATGCTTGAATACTGATTCTGATAATGCAGTTAACGGGAACCACAGGGTTTTTGTTACATGTTTATTTATGCACAAAAATATACCTGTGGTAAGCTCTTTAACTTTTTGCAGTTTTTTAAGGAAAACCACTAACGTGGAATGCGTCATAACCTGTTATTATATTGGCTCTCTATACCCTTCAGACGGGAACACAGCAGTGCAAGCATTGCTATTTGGCAGCAGATGTAAGTGACGGGCTCCGAAACAGATGAGGCATCCTACCATCGAGTACCACCGGGCATTGTCTGTTATCATTACCATTGCAAACACCGCTGCACATAAGCCTCCCATAGATTGCCACATACGGGGATATTTTCTATACTTGTCACGACAAGGGGTTTAGAAACCGCAAGTTATTTTAAATATTTATGTTGTTATTAGGAAAACGCTGCCGTCTATCTCCTGGTTTGCTTCGCTCTGTCAACGTGAACAAAATTGATCAGGAGGCTTTTATCGTCAAACGAACCTTTGCAATTAGTTCAGCTATGTGCATCGCAGTCTTGGTGTGTAGGGTTACTTCCCCCGTGTTTATCGCTGACCTGCCTTCAGCCAGCGCCATGTATATTATCACTTGATCCTGAAAACCAAATGTGTACAAATCATTATAGGTCAAGTGACTATTTGTTTTATTTTTTGCTACGTTTAACTATACTACAAATTTATTACAAAATATTCTCAGTGTAATGGTTATTTAGACAAGAGTTTTTTGTGTGTTACTGACACCTGCTAGCTTTCTAATAATCAATGTAAAATACTGATCCGTTCGAATTTTGTAAGTTGAAACGGCAATAGGCCGGCCAAATAGCTTGAATAACCGACAACTGTGGGCGAAGTAAGGTTCTCGAATGGCAGCTACATACGTGAGTGAGTGAAGTGTTCGGTGGACCTTACTAGATTCTGGGCAAAGGGCAGGAAGTCGATGGATGCACGTGACTTAGAACTGTGCTTTGAGTCATTTCTTAGAGGAGGTCTATGTTCAGTAGTTGATTTGTGATGATGATGGTAATGAATCGTTCGTGTAATTCATGGCATTTTATCTGTCCTGAGAGCTGATAATGCATTGTCATTTTTAACAAGCGGTAAAATTTAAAAAGCAGATGTTCCAAAATGGGCCAGGTCTATCCTGGCCAGGTATATGTACACTACCTACAAAAAACGAGAAAAATCTGTAGAATTCGGTGAAAACACAGATTCATTTAAATATATTCTCTCATAGTTAACAATTAATATTTATTAATTATTTTCATAGACTTTCAACATGGCGTTGCAGCGATTTAGTTACTCTGTGCTTATAGACAATGAGAATAAACCATAAAGCGACCATTGATCATAGAAAGAGAACTATCAGTTGTCACAATAGTGACAAAAATAAGTGAAAGTTATTTGGTACGTATTGGGAGGAGGGTGTGTAAGTGTCGTTGTGTTTTTGGCTATTTCTTATTCTGAGAGCTGTTGAATTACCTTTTTTTTTTGTTTATTATTTCTGTTGGTGTTGGTTTTAGTAGTTATAAATCCGTAAGTGTTTAGTAATTGTGCCGTTTTATATGTAATTAGTTAGAATAAAATGGAGGAAGATCCTCCCGATCCCGACGGGGTTCCATGTGACTCCCATACTGGTACGAAAAAAAATAATAATATTCCTATCGAAATTGATCAGTCGAAGCGTAAAAGATTGCAAGCAACCAATAACTCAGGTCATCCTCAGAAAAGATTAATTACAGATCCATCTCAACCTGTTCCATCTATTCAGACCTCTTATACCCACCCTGAATACATAGAAAAAAAAACATAAATATTCTAATAACGACAATGCGCCGTTTATTGTACATGTAAGTAAGAGAGTAGATGATTTATCAACTGGAGTAGTTTTAAAACCGATAAAGTTTGGTCATTTTCTCTACCATAATAATATTAAAAATGTTGTAAGTGATGGTGTTAAGCGAGTAGGACGCAATAGAATTTCAGTCGAGTTTAAAAGTGCAGCAGATGCAAATTGTTTTATTGAGAACCCAGCCCTTGCAGGTGCTAAATATGATACTGTAATCCCTTCTTATAATGTCACACGCATGGGAATAGTGAGGCAGGTCCCTGTAGAATGGACATTAGAGGAACTCATCTCATCAATCGAGGTCCCAGCTGGTTTTGGCTCAATTATTAAAGCTCGCCGATTTAATAGAAAGTCAGTTAATGAAAACCAAAGCACTGTGTGGATTCCCTCTCAAACAGTTGTTTTGACTTTTTCCGGTCAGAAACTTCCTTCTAACATTTATTGTTTTTTTACCTCAATGCCTGTTGAGCCCTACATTTTACCTCTTATTCAATGTTACAAATGTTGTCGTTTTGGGCATGTAACCTCACAGTGTAGGTCATCTTCCCGGTGTTTTGTGTGTGCTCAAAATCATGAAGGAATATCATGCACAAGACAGTCTCCCACGTGCTTATTTTGTTCAGGATCTCACACAGCTAAAGATCCTTCCTGCCCTGAACACTCTAGGCAGAGATCTATCAAACTTACCATGTCACAGGAAAATATTTCCTATCTAGAAGCATCTGCCCGTTTCCCTTATGTCCGGAGATCTTATGCAGATGCTGCTAGAATCCTTCCTTCGTATGATCATCAGAGTCCCTATCCTATTTCAAATTCCCCTTTACCTTCAGTTGTCCCCTCACAATCTCATTCTTACAGGAAGACTACTTTTACTCCAAGACTTCCACCAAATCCAGCATCAAGTCATGGATATGATAAATCTGCCCACGAGGCAATAATAGATACCCCTTCTTCTTCAACTACTAATGGTTGTGCTTTAATAGGGCGGAGTATTTCCCCTAATGACAATCTCTGTGAGTTAACGATCTCCATGCTTATAAGTATGCTTTCCCGTTTCAGCGATATGGATCTCCCACTTGCCCTCCGCCAAAAACTTACTGAGCTCATCTCACTAACAAATAACCTTCCCTCCAATACTTCAGTGGAACTGCCGGAGCATTAATAATAAAAAAAATGAATTAATTTACCTTATTAATAAATACCATCCCCTCATCCTAGCCATTCAAGAGACATGGCTTAAGCCTGGGTCCCATTTTAGGATTTCAGGTTATTCATGCCTCAGGAATGATAGGAATGATGGTCATGCTGGCTCTTTCATTCTTATCTCAAAATCAATTACTTATACATTAATTTCCCTCCCTTCTCATAGTCCTTCAATTAATGTTGTAGCAGTTAGAGCTCATAACACTTCTTTTCTTTCTATTTACATTCCCGAACCTAGTTTAAATGTTTTATCAGAACTTACGAGGATCATATCCTCCATCCCGCCTCCTATGGTAATTCTTGGTGATTTTAATATGCACCATACTTTATGGGGCTCCCATTTTTGCGATCCCTGGTCTTCTACATTTTTAGACATCATTGATGATTTAGATCTCTGCCTCCTTAACGATGGTTCACCTACACGTAGAGTATCCCCCCTCCAAAATCCTAAAAGTGCAGTAGATCTGTCACTCTGTTCTCCTGCTCTGTCGTCCCTTCTTTCTTGGAGAATATTACCCTTTTCCCATGGCAGTGATCATTTCCCTATTATTATCAATCCCCCTAGCTCCTATACAGTCAATGTTCCATTCAATCCTAGGTTAAAATATAACACTTCCAAAGCAAACTGGCAACTATATTCCACAGTTCTAGAGGAAGAACTTTCAGCCCTTCCTCCTGTTCAGAAAGATAATGTTCTCCAGGTGTATGCTTCTTTTAAAAACGCTATTTTATCTGCTGCCAATAAGACAATTCCCATCAAAAAACCTTATAAAAATAATGCCCCTTCACCACCTTGGTGGGATCAAGATTGTTCTGTAGCATGTAAGAAGAGAAAGGAAGCTGAAGTAAGATATTCCCACTCTATGAATTTTGACAACTATATTTTTTATAAAAAAACTGCTGCTGAAACATTAAAATTATTATCCGGGAAGAAAAAGGCTGGATGGCTTAAATTCTGTGAGTCACTGTCGCCTAGGACCCATCCATCATTAGTCTGGAAAAATATAAAAAAATTCCGATGTTCAGTTTTGACCTCTGAAAACACAATTTCTAATGATCAGTCTTATTGGCTAGAAAATTTTGCTAGTAATCTTGCTCCTCCTTCAGTACCATCTTACAATGAATGTATAGCATTTCAATCACAGTCCTTGCACTATCAACACAGTTTTGACGCCCCTTTCTCTTATGAGGAGTTATATGCTGTTCTTAGTGTCCTTAAAGACTCTTCACCAGGAATTGATGGAATTCCTTATTCCTTTATTACTAATAGCAGTGAACCTATTAAAGTCCATCTTCTTTCTATTTTGAATTGTATTTACACGTCTGGTATTCCTCCAGAAGAATGGAAATCCCAAGTTATTTTACCTATTTACAAACCAGGTAAGCCTTACACTGATCCCTCAAGCTACCGCCCTATCGCTCTTTCTTGTACCATGGCCAAAATCCTTGAACACCTAATAAAAAATCGTTTAGAATGGTTTCTTGAAAGCAAACACCTTCTAGCAACAAGCCAATTTGGATTCCGAAAGGGCTTAAGCACCATGGACAGCCTTAGTACTCTAGTTACTGATATTCGTTTAGCTTACTCTAAACATGAATACCTTGTTGGAGTCTTCCTAGATATCGCGTCTGCATATGACAATGTACTTCTTCCTATGCTCAGGCAAAAAATGCTCAATCTGAGTATTCCAGTGAGGATAGTAAATTTTGTCTCTAACTTTCTCTCTTCTAGATCCATTTATATTGATAGTCAACATTCTCTACTCCCACCAAGAATAGTATGGAAAGGTCTCCCACAAGGCTCAGTACTTAGTCCTTTGCTCTATTCTATCTATACTTATGATCTAGAGCTTTCTGTTAACTCATTCTGTAACATCCTCCAATATGCAGACGATATAGCTATATATATTTCCTTGGATAACCTCCCTGCAGCTTGTTCCCGCTTGAATTTATCAATGTCCTATTTACATGATTGGTTAACTGATCATGGTTTGTCTTTGGCTGTTCCCAAAAGCAGTGTTGTGATCTTCTTTCGCCATAGGCAACTCCCTGAAATCAACATTCTCTATAATAATGAACCTATCCCAATTAGGGAGAATGTAAAATTTTTGGGAGTTATTCTTGACTCCAAACTAGCCTTTTCCCATCATATCAACTATGTTTCCAAAAAATGTGAAAAAAATATAAATATTCTTCGAGCTTTATCGGGAGTTTGGTGGGGCTCCCACCCATTCTCTCAAAAATTATTGTACAATGCCCTTATTCGTAGTCATTTGGATTATGGGTGCTTTGTCTTGGAACCCTGTAATAAGTCTTCCCTAAAGAATCTAGATAGGATTCAGGCCAAAAGCCTTCGTATAATCATTGGGTCAATGAAATCTTCTCCAATAAATGCTCTTCAAGTCGAATGTGTAGATCCCCCTCTTTACCTAAGAAGACAATATCTTTCGGACCGATTCTTTTTTTAAAATCTACCAACTCTCTTCCCACCCGCTCATTTCTAAATTACACCTTCTTTTGGAATATATTTCATCAAAGCATTACTGGACTCATAAAGAATCTCCCTGCTTATCCAACAGTTTGGTAACATTACTCCATCTACCACACCCAGTATCACAATGCAAGTCCTGTCCCATCTTTGATATCCCATATGATGCAATTATTTATCAACCAAATATCCACCTCGACCTTGGTATTGAGAAAGATTGCCCTATAGCAAATAGTAAACTAAGTAGAGTCATAGATAACTTATGGAAAGGCTGGCTTATTATATACACTGATGCCTCCAAAAAGTCAGGTGAAAGTTGCACTGGAGCAGCCGTTTGGATTCCCAGATACAAAATAATCCTCAATTTTAAATGCCCTTCTATTTCTTCCACTTTTACTGGCGAGGCCACGGCAATTTATGAAGCTTTAATTTATATAGAAGCACACAACCTAAATAAGTCAGTTATTCTTACTGACTCCAAAAGCTGTTTGTTAGCAATTTTGTCAAACCAGTTCCAAAGTAAATATAAGATACCCTTGATCCTCAAAATTAAACACACATTGTATACATGTCATCTCAAGGGTATTCAGGTTTCCTTAGCTTGGATTCCAGGTCATAGTGGCATCAAGGGCAATGAAACAGCTGATCTGATGGCTAAAAATGCAAGTCGAAATGGTTTGCCATGTAATTTAGTTTACTCTTCAGACATAGTGTTACTTGCAAAGAAGAAGTTAAATAATAATTGGAATACATTATGGAAAGCCACTCAAAATATAAAAGGTAAACACTATGCTGCTATACAAGGTGCCATTCCTCCAAAACCATGGTTTTTCAAATTTAATAAAGCTAACAAACAGTCAACATCAACTATCTGTAGACTTCGAATTGGCCATGCTTGTACACCAGTACATTTAGCCAAACTGAGGATTAGGGACAGTTCCCTCTGCGAATGTGGGTTAGATGAGGGAACTTCTGACCATATTTTTTTTAACTGTCCTAAATTATCTTCTTCACTCTATGATCACCTCCCTCCTGACATCCCTCGTCCTATAAATTTTGATTCACTTTTAACCTACACAAACACTCCTTATGTATATATTCTGTGTGATTTTATTAACTCTAATAGTATAAAAGTTTAATGTTTGTCAATACTAATATACTAAAGTAGTTATAGCAACTGTGTTTGTCATTTGTCCTAGGTAATTCAACAGTACAAGCACTAGTATTATAAGATAAAAAGGAAAATTTAATTGTTTAAATAAAACAAGGCACTTGTATTATCACAATCTTCTTTAGTTCATGGGCATAGTATTTGTGACTACTGAGCTTGTACTCAATAAACACTTCCACGCTGACATTGGCGAATAATCAAAAACCGCCATAAAAAAAGAAAAGAAAAGAAAGAAAATAAGTGAAATAAACATGTCAAACGTTATTAATCAATAAAAATGACAGCTTACCGCCATGACGGGTTTTTGTTGTGCGTTGCAAGTTCAAGCGTAAATTTCTTTGCTTTACCAGCAAACAAAGCCATTATAAAGTTATTGGACAGTTGAGAATCGTTTAAAATGTGTTTCACTATTTTTGAGTATAGTGTACAATGACCTGGCCCAAGTTCCATACATTTTGGAACATCTAATTTGTACAACTGACTTCAATATAAATAAAATGTGAACATCATCAAGGTATTCGAAATCAAATATACAATATTAAGGATAAAAACTTCTGATCAAATTTATATGGGACCACATGAGATGCATCAGCTTTCAAATAAAAAAAGAATCATCAAAATGAGTTCACCTAGGAAAAAGTTCTGAGGTAACACACCTTTTTTTTATGGCTAATACAGTAAATTTTGTGGTAATATGTTAAATCTACACAAACACACTAAACTAAAACAAACAACACAAGAAACGAAACACTACACAAAGGGCGCGCAGATTTAAGATTTTATGATACATTACATATTTTTATTCGTTCTCAATGATTATTGTCATACCGTTACCATTATAGTCTATTACATTCCACTGCTGAACATAGTCCTCTCCTATAAATTGCTCAATATGGGTTGGCAGCCGCAGTTTTTTTTTATTTTCAGTTGTTATTAGGAAGGTGCTGCTGCTCATGATTTGTTTCTCTCTGTCGCCTCTTACATCTGCAGGATGATATGAGGTTGCCAATGACACAAATTTTTTTGGGAACCCTATTACGCAACATCAAGTTATACAACAGGATCTAAATGCCATCTACGATTGGACTAGTGATTGGCTCCTAACACTGAACGCAGACAAGTGTACGGTTCTACATATAGGGAAAAATAATCCACGAAATACATATTATCTAGGTGATCACCCATTGTCTTCTGTTGAATCACAAAAAGACCTTGGTATTACAATAACCAGTGACCTCAAATGGGAAACTCATATCCTTAACATAGTAAAAAAGGCAAACTCCATGATGTATATGATTCGAAGAAGCTTTATGTGTCTCACTCCTAAAATATTTAACAAGATCTACCGAACGTACTTAAGACCTCTTTTGGAGTTTGCATATGTGGTATGGGTCCCGTATTTTCGTAAAGATATAATAATACTGGAAAATGTTCAAAGGAGGGCCACAAAAATGGTCAAACAACTGCGGAAAATGACATATGAGCAGCGAATGAGAAAGCTTAACCTCACAACACTAGAGAGCCAGAGTAGTGCCTAGTAGGCAGAGAGGTAGTCTGTTTGAAACATACAAAATACTGACAGGATATTACAATGTTCCTACTCTGCGGAATTTGTACTTACTAAATAGCAACAAACGTCTGAGAGGACATCAACTTAAACTTTGCCATATGACTGCCAAGCGGAATCCCATGAAGAATTTTATAACAAATCGTGTTGTCACCAAGTGGAATAAGCTACCACAAAATGTGATTGATGCTCCTACATTGAACGCCTTCAAGAACAGATTGGATAAAATCTCCAAACATTAAGATGCACACGCATCAGCTTTTTTAGCTGCTAGTGTGTTTATGTATAAATAAAAATAAAAATAGTGCATATTCTTACACCGCCATTAAAAGGTTCCATTTGTCATAAAAATGTATAATGTACAGACACCTTTAATTTACATTTTTATTGTATTACCAGCGATCCGCCCCAGCTCCGTACGGGTGATTCCTGGGTCTCGACAACAGCGCCACCTATCGGGTCCAAATGTAAATCTAAGCCATCCAGGAACCCATCCAAACACATGCAAAAAATTTGATCAAAATCGGTCGAGCCGTTTTTCATTTTTAGCGAGACTAATAGATGCAAAGAAGATTGTAAGTACGATAAATACAACAAAATCTGCCAAACTACAAAGAAGGCTTGTGGAGACTTAAATTAGTCGATCTCTACAAGTTTTTTCTTTACGAATTAATATATAGTTTACACGTGGTAGAGCCATGCTGCAATTATATTAGTAGTATAGTTGTAGCACGAATGGGTCGGCTCGACCGGGGAAGGACCACGCTTTCACAGAATACCAGCGTAAAATAGTTGCTTAATGCTGCTGTGTTTCGTATGGTGAGTGCAAAGAACCGGAGACTCTTTTAACTGGAAACAAGGCATACCATGTAAGTCCTCATGAGTGACAGCGCTTCTGCATTTTGATTCGTAATCGACGATAGATGTAGAAGTCTGTGGGCCGCAGCAACCACTTATCACCAGGTGGACTGTGGTACTGTGTGCTCGTTTGTCACCCTATCCTATAAATAAATTAGGATGTGCAGTAAGTAATGGATAACCCCGCAGGTACTGTTCTAACAGAGCTAAGAGGAAAGGGAGTGTACAGACTTGCATGTGCGCGTCGATACAGGCGCGGCTGAGCAGCGCGGCTCGCAGCGCGCCGGCCGCCTGCGCGCCCGCCGTATGCGCGTCAGTTCCGCGCCGCCCGAGCGCGTCCCCGCCCAGCACGCAGCCAGACGACGTCTCGCACCAAAGCCTGACCAAATATACACCGCAGTTGAATAATGCGCGCAGACAACCCTTTCTTACTGACGGTCCATGGTGATAGTTCACACGTGCTAGAGCTACGCTGCAGCTATATTATGGTTGTAGCACGAATGGGTCGGCTCCACCGCGGTAGGATCACGCTTCCATAAAATACCAGAGTAAAATAAACCCTTAATCCTCAGGGATGACAATGCAACTGCAGTTTGATTATTAATTGAGCGCGCAGCATCAACTTACCATCAGATGAGCTATTTGGTCATTGGACATCGTTATACTATACAAACACCGCTTACTGACTGACAAAAAGTGATAGACCATAATCTGACAGATTAACAATGGGTAACGACTTTACAATAATTATATGTGGTAGAGCCATGCTGCAGTTATATTAGTACTGGTGAAGCAGTAGATAAAGTTTTTTTTCCCTAATAATCTAATTCGCCAGTCTGCAGTAAGTAGTAGACTGGGGAAGCACTACGCTCTCACAGAACACCAGCGTAAAAGGATAGGATGACAAACGAGCACACAGTCCACCTGATGGTAAGTGGTTGCTGTTGCCCATAGACATCTACATCAATCCTCGATTACGAATCAAAATGCATATGAGTTGTCATTCGGGAGGACTTAGGTGGAATGCCTCGTTTCTAGTAAAAAGGGTCTCCGGTTCTCTACACTTATCATACGAAACACAGCAGCATTAAGCTACTATTAGACGCTGGTATTCTGTGAGAGTGTGGTCTTGCCCCGGACGTGCCGACCCATTTGCGCTACAACTATACTACTAATATAACTGCAGCATGGCTCTACCACGTAAAATTATAGTATTATAGTAACGGTAACAGTAAATATGAAAAATTAAATAAGAAATTAAGGTAGGTTAAAAAACTACGCACACAATGCCGCTACAGTTGTCTGGAGCCATGTGTCTGTCTTCTTTGTAGCAGTTGATGTTCACGTTCGGAAACTGACCGAGTTCTTGTCGAGCGCCGTCGGCCATTTGATATGCTAGCTGTGGACGGTAATTTTTAAAATGATCTCAACGCATATAACACACAGAATATTTTTGTATTTTTACACTTAAACTTAAAAAGGTTAGAAAAGAGACGAAAATAACGTGGAAGTACAACGCTGCAGCTGCTACAGCTTAACCTGAGCTACCTGCTTCATCGCCATTTTATCAGGTGGTATCGCCTACTGCTACTAGGTTGCAACCAGATAAACTTTCTTCCTCATCCATCTTTAGTTCTTTGAGCTATGTGGCCATCCATTGCCACTTCACCTTACTGTTTCAGTAGGCTACATCCTACTGCTTCAACTGCGTACTACCCATTTAGTACTAAGAATAAATGTAAACATAGAACAAACCTTGATTGGTAATGTGCCGGCCACAAAACTCAACCCTTTAACACTCAGTAAATCTCCACGTTCCATTATTAAGGCGCTCTGCAATTGTCTAACAGGTGTAACATCGACTGTTACATGGCCACCACCTCTTGGGAAGTACCTGCAAAATCATACAAAAGCTTGTTAATTTTCCTAATCTTTGGTAATATTTTAACCATCCAGGTATAATGTTTAAAAATGTACAGAAAAATCATGATGGAGCTACCATTTGGTACAGCTTTAACAAATGCCTGGATCATTTATAACATATAAAATGAAAAAATAAATAAAAAAGAATTTATTTAAAATACCCCGATTTTAAAACCTCTGCAAAATAAAAAAATCGCTTTAACAAATGATTCAAACTCGGCTTCATATACTGGCCATAGCTTCAATATGGGTAACAAAAAAGAAATTGTTCTGGCTGCTACAATAAACTATGTGAAATTTCAAACAGTAAAGAAGCTAACAATAAGTTTAAAAAGGTTAAAACTATGTGTGATTGTTGTAAGAAAACATTGTGTCGCGAATGTTATATAACAAAAAAACATTCTTCGAATACTGTCATTTTCCTGAATAAAAACTAAAACTTTGTTTCTTAGATATTGATGTTTTATTTGTATCCAGATACATCCCTAATTTATATCGATAAATATTACCGATCAGCGTGTTTAGTGGGTAGAAAAGATCCGACGCTTAAAACTGTTAATTACACAAAATGTACTAATTAGATATGCTTACGAACTCAACTATACATTTATTACATACTTTATTGAAAATACATTTGAAAAATAAAATTAAAGTAAATACATTTTTTTACATAAATAATCATATTTTTACAATAGTAAGTTCAACGAATCTTTTCGACCTTTAAAAAAGTCAAGCATAGGATCTTAAGGACCCGATGCATCTGTAATTAAGTCAGGCAAAAATGTAACTGCAGTGAATATGTTAATTTCCTTAAATTTTTGTCTGAGCGTCTCTTTGTTTTAAATCATAGATCTCATATGGTCCTCTTCTCTAATACAAATATAAATTCAGTGTCAGTTGCATGTTTCCATAGCAAAATACCATACAACATCATACTATGGAAATAGCTAAGGTAAAATACTCTAGCTGTTTCAACATTGGTAAGATTCCTAATCTTTTTTACAGCATCTACTGCAGAACTAAGTCTGCTCACTAGTTTTTATATATGGGGGCCTCATTGAAGCTACGCGTCTAGTGTGATTCCAAGAAAAATGGCATAGCAACAAGACTCAGCACCTCCCCATTTAAAATTACATTGGTATTTAGATGTTTAACATTTGCAGTTATAAGAAGAGCTGTCGCCAGTCTCTTGGCTTATTTATCTCTGCCCCCTCTTACAACACCCACGGGGTGATATGGAGCAGTGGAAAATCTTACACTAACATATACCGTCAAATACTGAAGTTTTAGTAGCTATATTACAATGTGGGATATTGTTTCAAAAAACTGATTGCTCTAACTTACATATTATCTTAATTTTTTTCCAGCCTGTCAAAGATCAGTACTGGACTCTCCATGTCCTGGGCTGTCATAGAGAGAATGTCATAATCACCATACTTGGCAGGTGGACAGGCAGCTACAATACCTCTGATCCTGTCCCTTGTTGTAGACCTGGGTGCTTTAAGTCTGGATAAACCAGATCAAACAGAAGCTGTGTAATTTTTACCATTTTCATTGCCCCATATGTGACAAGGGTAAAGTATATAAGTCCCATTGTAGTCCACAGATGTCCACTAATTTCAGAGACCTTTAAGGCCAAGAAAATGTCTGCCACATTGTCACAATGCATGTTAGCATACTTCGCAAATCTTCGAAATATATTATTAATCTCAGATATGCAGGATTTTTCACAATGTTTTCCTTCACATACATGTAGCACATCAGCACTTATAATTGCAATTGTTACACTGTAAAAATTTACAGTGAGCACCCAACTCGCGTATTGTTAAGAATAACAAGTATAAGCCTTGTAGAGAAATACTGTAATAGAAAATGGTGTTAACAATGATTTTACTTACCCTCTCCTATGTATTTTTAATGAGAAGTTCGCATTGAATTTTTGCAACACTGGCCTTAACACCTTGTCCATGTAATCGATTTGTGGTGCCATGTCCGCATTGGTGCCCCCTTTGAGATCTAGTGTGACTGGACCATCGGCCATCAAAGCACAAGGTAATGCCACTTGCAGCAGTAAGCTAATGGACCTGAAAAATAATGTAAAAACAATACAAATTCCTATTTCTATTTTCTTTTAACTGTGGAAATAGTTCTGGGTGACAAAGGAAATTGGCAGTTTGATAAAGAACTAGCAAGGGACATCTTAGATGGAAAAAAAATTACCGATATATTGAGGATTTTTATACATGTAGAGCCATGCTGCAGTTATATTAGTAGTATAGTTGTAGCACTAATGGGTCTGCTAGACCTGAGAAGGACCACCCTCTCATAGAATACCAGCGTAATTTTTCTTTATAGGAGAGGGGGCAAACGAGCTTGCGGCTCACCTGATGTTAAGTGACTACCGCTGCCCATGATCAACCGCAACACCAGGGGAATTGCATGTGCATTGCCGGCCCTTTAGAAAAGAGTAAGCTCTTTTCTTGAAGGTCCCCAGGTCGTATCGGTCCGGAAAAATCGCCGGTGGTAAACTATTCCACAGAGAGGTTGTACGCGGAAGAAAACTTCTTTTGAAGCGGCTGGCAAAATAGTAGCCTTATGCTGCTGTGTTTCGTATGGTGAGTGTAGAGAACTGGAGACCCTTTTTACTGGAAACGAGACATTCCATCTTAGTCCTCATGGGTAACAATGCATCTGCATTTTGAATCGTAATCGAGGATAGATGTAGATGTCTATGGGCCGCAGCAACCACTCACCATCAGGTGGACTTTGTCTAGTTTGTCACCCAATCTTATAAAAAAAAAGATGGGCTAAATTAAGAGTACCCTTAACCGGTAAGCATGTAAGTTTAGATATATTGACGTAAAAGGAAGAAGAAGGGGCATTTCATAATCATGCCAAATTGATATCTGTATTCTCTGTCAGGATACCCCTGAGCATAGTAAAAACAGAATAGTAGAATTTATTCTAAGAAATGTACGGAACGCCGCTAATATGGTTATATTACTATATCTATACGTAGATACATACCTCATAAGCACATTATCATATCACATCAGATCAAATTACATAAACAAATATGATGCATAACTATTATGTTTGTAAATATTATAACTACTTATAAAACTAAATGAGACTTAGTTGTTAAACAAAAAGACAGGGACAACCTTACAACAGTAGGCATCTTAGTCTCGCGCGGCATAGGAGAAATCCTACTATTCTGTTTTTACTATGCCCTCAGTGACAAGCATGCGAGTTTGTATATGTAAAAAATTCTGATAGTACTAAATAAAAAAGAAACAGTGAAAATCACAAAATATTTGCTTAGGATTTGATATAATTCCTACACTCAACAGGTAGTTGGGAATCACTGCAAAACATATCTTACACCTTTATTGAGGCTCTCTGTAGTCAGATGTAATTTTGTTTCATAACTCTGAAATGACAAACAAATTTACAGTTTACATAATGGTAAGTGGCTACTGTAGGCCATGGACAATAGCAACCTACTTCAAACAAAGAAAGCTACAGATTTGTTGTCACCCCTGAGGACTAAGATGGAAGGCCTTATAACGAGGATTATACTAGCTCTCTGCACCCTTTAGATTGTAACATAGCATGTGTTGCTATTTGATTTTAGAAATAGGTAAAAGTGAGTAGAATTCTAGGCATAGGAAAGTCCTATTGCCTAGTAAATATTCCCGTCTTAAGATCACATGATTTTCTTGGCCTCTCATAGTAACGTCTTACGTCATAGGACAAAATTTAGTGATGAATTGTTTTACAGGACACATAACATTTCAGTGAGAGCTTTATATCTAAGACTAATCAGATTTTTCTTAAACATCACTTCCAAATAACTTATTTTCCTAAATACAAAATCTATACAAATAAATAAGACTGAAGTATCTGCTTGCAATGTCATATAACAGCTTTTACTAAATGCGTATGAAAATACATACAGTACTTATAAAATTGTTGTCTGTCTGTTTGTTCTGATTAATCTCCGAAAAGGCTATACTGATTTTGACGGGACTATCACTGGCAGATAGCTGATGTTATAAGGAGTAAGTTAGGCTACTTTTATTTTAAATAAAGAATTAGGGTTGCATGCAAAAAAAATTAATAAACTCATGTAATCCAATCATAATAAATCCCATGTGTGCGCAGTTGCAGGAAACAGCTAGTTTATAATAAAAATTTACCCTGCTGTTTGTGTATCAGCAACATAATGTCCTCCCCTGATCTTTCCAGGAGTGAACTCAATTTCTGTAGATCCAATGCTAGCACCTTTAAGCTTTGCTTGACACATATCAGCTACTAACTGAATACCTGAAGAAATGAAGGTCAGATCTAGATTTAAGTACATATAACATACAATATATTAAAAAATATTTACAAAACCACATAAGAACTCAAGGAAGTGTCACCATGTTCTATCTCTCTCTCTTTCTCTAGTCAAGAACAATTGTAACATACCTCTTTCATTACATATCTCATATAAAAATCGATTGATGTCCATTAGTCTTGCAAAAACTCAAAAATGGCTGGACAGATTTTGTTGAAATTTTTTGAGTGAATTTGAGTGGGTGATCCTGGATGATCTAAGTGATTCACAGTTGGCCCCTGTTGTCGAGATCCAGAAATCACATGCAAAATAAAGTAAGAACAGGAATAAAGTAGATCTAAAGAAGGTGGGTAATGTTGATCTCCCAAATTCCCTTCCATGCAAATTGTATTATAATGCCTATCCCGTTTTTCCTACTTTTCAATAGGATTTAAGTTTAAGTAGAATAAATGATTTGATCTATGTCCTTGCTGTGCTCTTTATAATAATTTTATACTATCTTACAGGTGCATAGGACTATGGACGAATTTTATCTTTAACTTACATATTTTGAAGTTAAATATTGTTACCTATTTATTTATATAAACTACTTTAATTCAAACAATGATTTTGGTGTTAAACACTTCAACAATGGTATTGGTTGCCATTTAGCGTAAAGTTTCTTCTATAAAGATTTAGAGGGCTGTATTGGTACATTCAATAGGTATAGCAAGGAAAGTGGATGAAAATACATGCACTAAACTTGTGAGGGCAGCATTGCTTTCCTCGTTGAGTAGCTGCTAATACAGCAGACTCGCCACGTAGGTCAGCATACTCTTAGATCAGTTACAGGAAGTCACACATTCTTCAACTCTTGACTTATTGTATTGTGTAGTGATAGTTAAAATATAAAGGGGAGATCAAAAAATACAATATTCATCATGTGGTCATCATTTTTTTAATCAATTACAACTAATGCCGCCGTAACGGGCTTGCATCACCATCAACGACAGTACGTACATAATAGGAAGGATTAGGGAAAGGGGTTAAAAATATGTACCAAGTATTTGAGGAGATTATGAATTAAAGTGCAAATTGGTGTAACCTAGTATTTGTATTAAATTTTTATTTAATAAAAATAAATAAATAATAAATTTATATTTAATATCCTAAAATAGTCTGGTTCCTAGTATGAAAACTTATTCAAACTACAGGGGAGTTACCTCTAATTATTTTCTTTCAGTAAAAATAAAAATTATATATATAACCTTTTAAATGTTGAGCTGCTAATCCTGGCTTGCTGCGCTTTGCTCTAATATTCATAACACGTACAGGTATTCCTAAAATAGCGCTGAGCGATATAGAAATGCGAAGAATTTGGCCACCCTAAAATATGTTAAATGTTTTATTAAACATTTATTTGTAAGTATATTATTTGAAATTTGCTGTTAAATATAAATCATACCCCTTCTAAAATACTTCCATCGATGTCCAAACACTGCGCCATAGTAAAATTAAGCTGATTCCACTAATTGATATGTTATATCAATTTTTGCCTTTACATACTATTTATTTCTGTTCCTGGTTTCGGAACTGGGAACCTGAATTTATTTAATTACCATAGTACTCTTATTAGTTTGTAATTTTTAATAACTTGCTTTACGGCTCTGGATTCTAGCCCTTCTGAGACTATAATTTCTTTCGGCATCTTCGTTTTTATATTCTTTTTCTTCACAATATGCTGATGCATCACATTGCGAAGCCCTTGGGAGATTTTGACGACAGCTAAACCCAGCGGACAGTTGATGACGACAGCCACTAAGTTCATGAGGCACCCTAGCGATCAAAATAACTTGAAGTTTATATCGATATCAAAGCTCGTCTTTCGTCGTTTTCTCTAATAGTTCTCATTCACGGACACTTAATTCACAAAATCGCATCACTTTTACAAATCAAAATCCACTTCAAACCATTATTCAAGCGACAAAACAGGAGCGACAATCCGTCTACGGCCAAGTTCCCGCCAAAACTCCATTTATTTTGTGATTTAAGGTTAGTTACATGGAGTATAGAGATAAGGAGGACAATCTCCCATAGAATAATAGTTGAAAACGATCCATCCGTTAGCAGTAAATAACAGTTCAAAAACTCTCCAGAACAGCGCTTGAGTAGTTACAGGTAAATGATAAATCGCCGTAAAATACACTGAGAGTTATTTTGTAAATAAAAATTTTGAAAGCAATAAAATAATTATTGTAAAAAGAAATATGGTGAAAGTCTGTGTAATAAAAAATTACATAAAGTTCTTTCAAATTTATACTGAAGCTACAGTGGCACCACCCTTATTTAGCGCTTTCCTACGGACACTTTTTTTATACAGAATCTGTACTCCTTACCTCTAAACTAAATAGTTATAGTTATTTGTTGTTGTTAACCCGTAGCACCACACGCTATTTCTGGCCACACATCTATACACGTGGGGGAGCGCGGTCTCTCAAAAAGAAAAATCATATATCAGTACCAATTTTTATTACTAGACCAGTTTCTTTTTTCAACCAAATAAATAATAAACATTTTTCGAATGTTATTAGAGTATTTATTTATAACTTTAAACTTAAAAATAGACATTTCTAGCGTCAAACAAAACAAGTTACAAAAATCACGTTAATTTTTAAGAGTTTACTTTGAAAAGCGATTATGACTTAAAATTAAAAACAAAAAAATAAATCGAGTCTTTTTTGTAGTTACTCATATCTTACGAATTACAAATAATACATAAAAATCTACAAAACTACTTAAACGTCCAAAATCACAAGGGGAATGCACATAGTACTTAGCAAATATCAAAAATCATTAAGTTTAGGAACCTCATTTCAGTCTCAATATTTTCTATCAAAATATTGTATTTTAGCCTAATTAATACTTTCCCTGACATGTAGCACATATTTTTACGTCTACTGAATGATTACGGCACACATTCTTCATACATTTTGAGCACACTCTTGGAGTGTTGCTGTCTTTGAGTCGTGGGCACAAATGACAGCGCGATTTCTTTGGTCTCTTATTTTGGCTCGGTCCTTGTGCAGGTTGATCATCAGGTAGCTCAACACCAACCTCACGTAGCAACTTGTCAATCATATCTTTCAGTTCTTTTGAAAGATTTGTCACAGATCTTCTATTCATAACATGTGGAGTTACTAAAGCATATCCAAGTTCTTCTACTCGTAAAAATTTGTAACGACTCATACGCTTTTGAGGATTTGACGCGCAATAGATAACATGACTGTTTACTCCTGATATATTCAACATCGCACAGAATATTGTAGTTGGCCTTCTTTGACTTCTCCTGTTGACACTGTAAGCAGCACACTTCTGGTCAAGAGCATCCACGCCACCTTTTGTAGAATTATAAAATTCAGTGATCTCTGGTTTCCTAGTTTCAGGATTCGTTACAGCTTAAAGATGCATGGAGGATATGAGCGCAATACTATCGTTCTTTTTCGGTACAAAAGACACAAGTGTTTTATCTCTTTGAAAGCCAAAGATTGACGGGAAAGGTGGCCTGCTTCTACTCGTATGAGGAAGAAATTGCAGAGGAATTTCTCTTTTATTCTTACGAATAGTGCCTACATAAGTTAGGCCTTTCTGTTTTAAAGCATCAACTAACTCAATCGATGAAAACCAATTATCACCAGTAACATTTCTGTTAGTTCAATAAATTGGTTCAGTCAACGTTCCTTGTTGGTATCAACAATGTAGATGTATTAGCTCGAGAAGTTGGCACTTTTCCTGAATAAATAAAGGCATTGTACAAGTAATGTGTTTTTGCATCATTATTTTCAGCCCATACTTCGCTGGTTTTGATTTCATGTACATACGGAAAATGTAACGACTTCTGAAGGGAACGAGCATTTTATCAACAGTAACGTACTCATAACAGCTGTAGTTGGTGATACAATTTTTTATAAACTTGCTAAACAATTCTGATATGAGAGCAAGCCTGTCTGTCTTTTTTCGTTCTTCTCGTGTAAGTTGTTCGTCAAATTGTAGGCATGATAAGATAAACAAAAATCGATTTAGATAATTCATTTTTCATAAATTTAATCATAACTGTTCTGAAAATAGGTCTACCCTTTGTTTTAGCTGACCATATGCCAAAACATCAACCCAATAAATGCCAAAATTTCCTCTCTTGTGACATGGTAAATATAGGCTGAGTCAGATGTATGATTTTCTGAATAATTTGTGATTTTTTCATTAGTATGTTGTAAAATCAAGTCAATAATATCTTCAGTAAATAGACACTGCTTTCAATGGAGATATTTCATTTTTGGCTTGTGCAGGACCTCTTAGACCAGGTAAATGAATAATAATGTTATGTGCTGGCACCCGTGATCGTGATGGTGGTATTTTAGACCATTTGTACCTGTTTCTGCCATAAAAAGCATTGCTATTACGGCTTTGTGCATCGTTGTCACTCGAGTCTTCGTTTTCAGAGATTCTTTCCGCTTCTTCTTCACTTTCAGTATTGTGATCACTGATTTCAGACTCCGCGTCACTCAAATCCGATGATGCATCAGGAAAAATGTCCTCATTCACGTTTTCGTCAGAGTCTAAGTCATTCAACAGATCTTGTATCTGCTGGAGATTCAAATTTTTATCCATATTGCGCCACAAACTTAAAAAAAGTAAATGAAACAAAAAAAAACTAACATAATTACACTCATGGGGGACTATGCTCCCCCATCAACTCGTACCTCTTGAACTAAGTACAGTAACCAGGTGCGCGTCCACTCTCCGCGAGACCTCAGGCGGCACTGGGAATACACGAAAACTGAACCGCGTTACGTTTCAAACACTTAAAATATTTCTGAAATTGTGAGTGGTGGGGGGAGCTCACTCCCCCATGCGTGGTGTTAAGGGTTAATGTTGTTTGTTTGTTAATTCTCTATGATGCAGCTTGATTATACATGGTGTATTTTGGTTCACAAAATTCTTCACAACATGCTAATGCGTCATCTTACGAAGTTTTTTTTTACAAATTGGCCCTTATATTGTGGTTATGTTACAATAATTCCGCCAATGTCCAGTTTTTGGTCTGTGTCTTGAGAAGACAATATCTTTAATAGTTCACATGCGCAGACTTTTAAATCATTATTTTAAAAATGGTACAACGTATCTGCTCGGTTAAGCTGCCGTATAAATCACCAAAATTGCCAAAATCTTGCACCGACTTCAGAAGCTACTATGTAATTTTTTTTAATTAATTATTTTTTTCTTTTTAGTTCTGTGTGTCGACTTTTACTATTTACAAAGAGTTTAATTTTTTCATCCCTTTAATAGACCAAAGAATATAACAAGTTCAATGGCGTTTAGAAGAAGAATTTCATTTATTTAAGCAACCAAGGTTCATATTTTGTTAGTATTACTTATAACTATACTTATAGCTATGTTAGTAAGCATATTATTATTATTATATATAAAGGGACATCAGGGTGGTCTGCTATTTCCTCTAGATCCATATTCGACTTTAATTAGACGTGGGTAATCGGGCAAGGAGAATTAAACGACGTAATTCACACTAAATATAATTAGGGTATTACAACAAAAGTTATTAGAGACACTGATTCGTTAAACACTCCACCAAGAACGTAATGCTTATTTGCGATGTGAACCGATTGCCGTCTCGATGCGAACTGCCGCGTCGTCGCTGCTTCTACTCACACTAGCCCTTGGTGTTGCGTCAGAGTGAACGACAATCGATTACTTCGACATATGGCGTTTTGTATATCCGTTTGGTGTTCACTCCTCAATAATCTTCGAAATAATCAAACGCGCCGTCACGGCCGGACTGACGTTAGCACGTCCTCGTGCTGCTTTTGGTGCAGAGTTATTCTGTAACAATAGGAAAATAAAACCCGCTGGCATTATCACTTTCATTCGCTCGACCTATCCTGACATGAAAAGGTAGACTGTCCCTATCTTTTGGACATTTAGGAACCCACACATACACGCAAGACAATTACGTTTGGCCTCATGCCAACTAACACTGGCTAAGGCGTCCTTTCGACCAACCATCGTCTTCTATGATGACTTGGACCGGACAACCTAGCCCATGTCTAGCTAGCTTACAGAGCGTCAGCGTCCCTTCGACAAGTCATCATCTCATATGACAACGTGGACCGGGCAACTGGCTCTTTATCCGTCATCTCATATGACAACACCTAACTCAGAGTGACAGAGTCCCTTCGACCAGTCAACATCTCATATGACAACATGGACCGGACAACTGGCTCTTTGCGCGTCATCTCATATGACCACGACTCACGACAGTTTAATAATATTGATTAATTCTCGTAACTGACATTACTTACGTTAACGTTCCTCGCGTTCTGATGCTGATAGGGTTACTGAACTTGCAGCTTCAGTATGACCCCTGGATACCGATATTGTGTCACTATCATCATCTGATGTTGGTGTCCTATAAATGTGGCTCTGCCCCGCCGT